ACAACAAAATTTAGTAAGAAAGGTGACATTTACATTTTTGCAAATGTCTTTTAAGTCTAAAGGTTGATAGAAAATAGCTGGTTTCTCGTATCTGTTTCTGTATTCAGTGTGTTGCTATTGGTTGTCCTGGTTGAAGTGTATGAAGACAATCCAGCCCCACACAGACACGGCTGGATTTTAATAGTCTTTACAGATAATCGTGGGTACATCGTGTGGCCTCTGGAAAACTCCTTTGTGTACTCATGAGTTTACAAGGTGAATGATATCTTAGTATTATTTAACAACAGCTTGGACCTTGTGGACCTCTTAATGGAAAGTTTCAGGAACTCCAGGGGATCCTTGGACCACACTTGGAGAACCGGTGGGTTAGGGAAATGGAAATGAGAAGAATTGTACTCTAGTCATTATTTTACGTTTTCTTCTGATTCACACATTAACTAGGAAAAAAAGTACCGGGAACTTTAGAGTATGTGACCAAATTTAGGCAAGTTGTCTTTTTTTTTTTTTTTTAATACTGTTTTTTAAATGTCAGTGCAAGTCCAATGGAAGTGTCAGGGTGACTTTGGTTGCAAGTAACAGAAAACCCTTTAAAAGAAATACATTAGCTCATTATCTTCGTTCAGGCTGTAGCAGAATTCCAGAGATTGAGTGGCTTGAACAACAAATATTTGTTTCTCGTGGTTGTAGAAACTGGGGAAGTCTTTGAGTTCAGGGTGCTAGCCTGGTCAGGTTCCTCGTTAAGTCCACACGTGGCCTTCCTTGGTGCGTGTGGAGAGGAGGAGAGATCTCATGTCTCCTCTTTTTATAAGGACACGAATTCCATCATGGGAATCCCACCCTTACTATCTCATCTAAACCTAATCACCTCCCAAAGCCCCACCTCCAAATACATTGGGGATTAGGGTTTTGATATGTGAATTTTAGGGGAGCACAAACGTCCAGTCCACAGCATTCACAAAGCTGAAAAGGAAAGGCAAGGTGATCTAAGAGCGTGACGATACCCCAAGACATAGCTTGCAGAGGCCCAGTTTTTCTTCCTTGGGCCCCAACAGAGGTAATTGCTTTCTCATTCATGAGCTCTGGAAAAATATCTTTGTCCTGTGATTCTTAGCTGAATCCTAAGACGTACTCGAATTCAGATTAAGTAGCTGTGTCCACCCTAAATTAATGACCGTGACCAGGTGAATATAACTTTCTGGTCGACCTAAGTCAAGTGCTGTGTTCCGGGGGCAAGAGCAGAGTTGGTGTGTCTGGGAGCGCGCTGTGCCCTGGACCAGTCCAGGCTCTGGGGGGGGGCAGAGCAGCCGCAGCGGCTCCTGCGTCCTCTCAATTCTCTACACTATTCATGGGGATGATAGACATTAGTAAGCCAGTGAAAGTACTGGGGAGATCAAGATGGCAGATGCAGCCCCTGCCCTCAGGGCTCGCTGAGATGGCCGGGCACATGAGGAAGGGGCTGCCTGTAATAAAGATACATTCATGTCTTCTGGGGCTAGCTCAGCCGGGTAGGGCCTTGGGGAAGGCCTGGGTTTCAACTGACCCAATCCCTCTCTCTCTCCCCGCCCCTTAATTATAGAAAGTAAGATACATAAAATGTTCCCCCTCCTCACGAGTACCCGCCTTAAGTACAATTACGTATTTAAACAAAAGTGAAGTCATAATGTTTACACAGCTCTCACAATTTTCTTTTTTTTTACGGAGCCTTGTATTGTGGGCATCCTCATTGTCATTGTACACAGATTGAGTTCATCTGTTAGCTCAACAGCTGAAACAGTAATCTACTGTGAGTTTGCCTGTTTGATAGGTCTTTTAGTAATCTCCGGTTTTTGTAGTTTTTACTATTACAAATAAAGCCTCAATGAATTTCCATATGCATGTAACTGTGTTTCCCCAAGTATTTCCATAAGAGTGAATTGGGAGGTCAGAGAATACATACGTTTTGAATTTTGATAAACACTTGTCTCTCACACACACGCATGCGGGCACACACACACACACACACACACACACACACATACATACATACATACACATACACACACACACACATATATATATATCCTTTTTGGAGCCAAATATTGAAGGATGAGTAGGTGTGCCCTAGGTGGAAAAAGCAAAGAGAAAGGCAGTGTCTGAACCCTCACTGGGACTACCTGGGGTGGTCAAGGTGGGACCTCCCCAGGCAAAACCACCAGGAAGGGCAGCCTTCATAGTTTGTGACCTGACAGTCTTATACGCTGAGGTGTCTGTCAGGCAGTCCCGGGAGACCACCCCAAGACCTGGTAAGCCATTCGTGCTGGCATGTTGAAGCCCTAACGATGACGAATCTCTCCAAAACTTGGACAGATGCATTAGTTAAAATGTGTCCGTATGTGTTATAGTAGAAATAATTAACATCCCATTTGTTAATTGTCAAAAAGGTAACATTTGCGGGGTGCTGAAGTCCTTTGTTCCCACAGTTATATTTCAGATTACTGTGCTTGGGTACGGTTCAGTAAGAGACCTACTTACGTAAAAGGAAGTTGTTTAAAAGAAAAATGTGCGTTCTGTCATTGTTGAGTAGAAACAGCACCTTGCACTTCAAGTTCCCACAGAATATAAGTAGACCTTTGCTGTTGGAGGGAAGGAGAGCTTACTTTTTCTATTTGATGGTATTATTTTTAAATGAACCAGCGTAGCAGTGTGGCCTAACAGTCTGTAAAGGTCTCCCACCTTTCTTCTGAGCGTCAGACCATCCACATCGGCAAGTCAATACAATCTACTGGACCACTGCCATTATTATAAAAAGTCAGGCAATATTAATTTCTGTTGTTTTTCTGGTAGTCTGAGGGAACGTGGGTAATAGAAAATAATTGGTCAGAGTTTTATAATTCACAGAGGCAGCTAGGCCACTTAACAAAATAGTCCTATCTAACTGCCCTAAAAAATCTCTCAATTTTGTTTCTCTGGTTCAGAAACCATATTCTGTTTCCTTATTTCTCCTTTTTGTTTTTGAACAGCTGACCCACAGAGGGAGCCTTTGGTGGTGAACGAATCACTGGGTGTAAGTCACTGTCATGGTTGGGTTTGTTGTCGTCGTTGGGGTTGTTTTGGTGTTTTGAGAGTGACTGGGGAGGTGGGACACCTTGGGGAGGGGTGTCCGCATTCTTTTAGGAGACAGGAGGCCGTTGGCAGCATGCTCTCCACTGGAGTTCAGCATACTGACAAGAGTTTTGACTTGTTCTTGTCCACGTTCAACTGTATCCACATACGTCATGAAATGTAGTTGTTTAGTTCAAAAAAAAAGGTCACCCTGAATTCCGCCCCACTGAATTTAGGTCAATGTCCTGAAACAGAACAAAGGAAATAGAAGAAGGCCCAGTCGCTCAGACTAGGAAACTCACCTGGAACATGGATGCTAATGAAATCCCTCAAAGAACTAGGAACTTGCAATTCGTTATTACTACAATGACATTGCAAATGGGGACCATGATGTTAATTTGTCATGGTGCTATAGGCAGACAGATTTTATTTTGAAAACTAAAGTTCACTTTATGTTTTTGGAAAGCTTTTCTGAAGATACTAAACTATAATTGCCATATATGCATCTTTTCCCCCACGTGTGGTTCTCATAATCTCTTGTGCTTGAAAGGAAACTTTTTTTGAATGCATTTATAGGGGACCTGATATCATACAAGGAGTGAACATTTTGTAAAATGCTTGCAAATCGCAGGCAGCCACATTCTTTCCAGTGCCCCTGGAGGACTGATTACCCGACAGCTGTGAGTGACATTAGCACTCACGCCAGAACACCCCATTTTGTAGCTAGATGCTCGTACACGGTCTGCTGAGTAAGAAGGAAGAGGAAAGCCCACTTGGTTTGGTTCAGGTTTACCCCCCCACCAGAGCCAGCGAGGTGACTGTGAGCTCCCCAACGTGTGCTCCATACTACCTCAGTTTCCCAGAACCCCTGAACCCCAGCATCTGCCTTTCCCCACCTAGGCATGACTGTCCTTCTTAAATACACACGACATTCTGTAGCTTGGATTTAGAACGTTGTAGGACATTCTGAGACTTCCCCTCAGTAAACAAGAAAAAAAAAGGACAATTGACACGATTTACCAAAGGGAAATCTTATGACAGAATCCTTTAGCATTTTCAAGTAAAGAAAAGAGAAAATCGTGAGGGATTGTTGGATGGGAAAAGAGTTCATAGAATTCAGAAATATCTTCTCACTGATTTCTTACCCTCTTGCCATAACCATTTTAAAGATGAGGAGAATAAACACAGTGAGATAATAATTGGTTAAACCAGAACTTCTTCAAAAGGAAGATGCTCTGTGCTCTTGAGCTTCTGGGTGAAATAGAAAAGAATGCATATTCCAGCTCCCGTGAGCGTTCCCACAGACGGCCAGGTTATGGAAATTACCTCGCTTTTTTTATTTCTGCCTTCAAGACTTGGCAGATGACCCGTAAACAACCTTTCCCATTGTATGTTTAGGTCGAAAATTCAGGCTCAAGAGCAAATGAAGACATTCACAGCAGATCTCATGACAAAGAAGGTAAGTTAATGAATTTCATAGTGGTAATTTTAATAGTAATTGTAATTACCATTTGTTAACTGCCTTCTATGTGCCAGGCCCTGTGCTAATTACTTCCAAATTTCCTCTTGTTTAATTAATGTAATCTGTAGGGTGAGCTTTAACAGCATCACATCTGTAGTTGAGGCAAGAGGCCATGGCGAGGTCCAGTAGCTTGTTCAAGGCCATGCAGCTTGTAAGTGGTGCCTTGCCTTAAACAGCTACCAGAGCTTTGCCAGTAACCTCACAGTGCGCCCATCCAGTGTGAATAGGAAATGCTCAGGCCCCTGTTGCCTGTACATAGGAGTTCTGTGCTAACTTCTGACAGGAAGTCTCAGTTTGATACACATCAGAGATGCCACAATTACCATATTTTGCCATGTAAATGTGATCCTGTGTATAATGTGCATCTATGTTTTTGGCCCAAACTTTCAGAGAAAACAAATTTTTCATTTTAATTTTTAATTCAGATTTTTATTTGTTTACATACAGGTACTTGTTTTTTGTATTGTAAAGGAATTTTAGCATATTTTTTAACATACTATGGTACAAGAAATGTTACGTAACAAATAATTACAAAATACAAGAACAGATATAAGGTATAAGAAATTTTATGTACTGGTAACAGATTTACAATATTTACGCATCATAGAACCCCAAGAACTCTTCATCAGTTCCAAGGTCATAAGTTCAACAAAACCAATTATCGTATTCCAGGGTATTATTTTGTATATGGATATCGTTATTTATCTCTAGAGTTACACTTTTAACTCATAAGCATAAATAAAAGAATTAAAAACTTATATAGATACAGAATTACCCAGGTATAATGTGCATCTTTATTTTTCCCTCACAAATTCGGGCAAAAAAAGTGCTCATTATACACAGCAAAATACGGTATGTAAATAGTTTCCCAGGGGTCAGAGCTTACTCCATGCAACCCTGAGGCTGCCAGTGCCCAAGGAGTAAGTCTCTTCTCACATGGACCATGGCACTTTGTTGATTCCTTATTCTAAGAATGGGGAAAGAGATCTTAATCTCCTGTGGAGTTATTTTTACAATGTGTTACACCATACCTAGTTTTGTCATATCTTAAAATTTAGTATCCTTGCTTCAGATGCTTTTTTAAAAGTGTTACAGATACAGGTGGATCCACATTATGCCCTTCCCTAATCCCACCGCTCTTCCTTTTATCTACTCCAAAGGGAACCACTATTCTGCATTAGGAAGAGGGCACCACATTATAGAAACCGTCTCTGCCACATTTGTTTATTCAGCATTCCGTTCCAAAATTGTGTCATGTTAATGGTATATAACTCTAGTTACTTCACTTTATTGCTGTTTAGTATTCCATTGTGTGAATATACCAGTTTTTCTTGTTTGCTTATTTTGTTGACAGACGTTTCAGTTTTTTGCAACTTTTCCCAATTACAAAGAGTGTTGCCATGTGTGATCTTGTACCTGTTTCCCAGTGCATATGTAATGTACCTATAACTCCAGGTGTGGAATTGCTGGGTTTATAGGCACCTCTTCAACTTTAGTAAATGTGCCCAAGTGGCCCCAAGTGGTGGACAGTTGTCAGTCCACGCCTTCTCCCATATTTGGTTGTCAGACTGTGGTATTGAGTGTTGCATACTTCTGCATACTGTGCTGCTACACGAGCAGGCTGGAAATACTGCCGAACCTGCCGTGTGAAGTCCGCTGACCCTCTTGCCCCTTGAACCCCATTTATTCTCTTCTAGAAATGGAATTTCTGGGACTTACCTGACATCGTTGTTGTGAGGGTCCTGTCACCTTCATGTCTAAAGTGTTCTTCCCTCTTTCCCTCCCCCTGCTACACACACCCCTAAAATAAGCACTGGAATGAATAAATATTTAAGCTTTTTTCCCTTTTTGTATTTATTACTCAGAGATCTCCAATGGTAGAAAGGACAACACAGAAGCTGTCAGAGGCCACAATGCTGAAGCAAATCCTAAAGAGGTAGGTTTTCCTAATAAACTCAAGATTTTCGTATTTTATACATAGTGTTTTTCACCTGCGCACAAAGGTTTCACTTCTTTGTATATATTAAAAATAAAATGGAATTGTTAAGAGTTCTCCGTGTCACTTTTATCTGTTTATGCTCCTGTAATGTTTAGGTAATTTGACAGGTCCCAGGATTATTTGGACATGTCCATGTTGTGCAGTCAAGAATGTTTTTTCATGTACTGTCTTTCATCAACCCTTTAATGGGCCGCTAAGAGAAGAGAAAAACACTACCAATTTATTTGTGACATGCCATCAATTGTAAGACATAGGTTGACTTCAGAGATGGTAAAACGAGAAATATTTTTTTAAAAGACACATTTTTAAAATGTTGAAATATAGTATGTAACCAAAAACAGATTTGCATATTTTCTATACGTTTACATTCGAATCCCCCCCCCAAAGACTCAAGCCAAGAAAATGAGTCTAATCTAAATCTAGATGCCAAAAGTATTATTCTAGAATTTTTAAAATGTATATAAAAATTTATCCCTAAGGCTAGAAGCTAATATAATGTGCCCTCGTTTCAGTAGGTTTGGATCCAAATTCCATTGCCGTTAACAGTCATTCTTAATTCCAGGTTGAAGAGGAAGAAAGACATACGCCTAAAAGGAAAAGAAAGAAGCATTACCCCTCTTCAGACGATGAGCTGGGTATTTAGAATGTTTACCTTTCTGTTTTAGCCATCTTTGAAAACCATATTATTTTCACATATCGTGGGCCAATTACAGAAAACTTAGAGGGTAGTACAAGCTGACCGTTGATGAACATGAGGATTGGGGGCCCTGACCAACTGCACGGTTGAAAAGTCAAGTTCAGTTTAAATCGGCCCTCCACATACACGAATTCCCAACTGAGGATTCAAACCACAGTTGACCCTTGAACAGTGAGGGTTGAACTTCGTGGGTCCACTTACATGCAGAGATTTAAAACTCAAACCCAGTCTGTTCAGGGCTCAATTGTAATGGTTGGCTTTGCAGCTCTAGAGTCTAGTTTGTTTGCAGACCGGCCTGACACCTCCACGATCTTTTCTGGACTTGACCTAGAAAGTAGATTGTTTCTTGGGGAAGGCCCAACCCCTTGAGTACACAAACCCAAGCTTCCTCTGTCACCTGGGCCTGGGCTCCAGCCAGGTGCCACCAAGTCTCGTATTTGAGATCATAAACGAATGGCCCCCACGACTAGTGAAGCATGTAGGAGACGGGTATTTCCTAGCCCCTCTGTGCTTTCAGGCTCACTGCCCCGCAGTCTGTCCACTGCTGTCCATTTGAACGTGCTGCAGTGACGGAAAAGCTCTCTGTTTGTTGTGTCTAGTGCAGTCATTACTAGCCAGGAATGACAGTTGAGCACTTGAAATGTGGTCAGTGTAAATGAAAGACTGAATTTTTAATTGTATTTAATTTTAGTTAATTTAAATTGCAGTAGCCACATGTGGCTACTGGCTACCATATTGGACAGTGCAGAGACTTTTATACTTTAACACCTGAAACAAAGCACAAATTAAATAAATACTTATTAAATAATACGTGAGAAAGAATGGATAGTTAAATACTTTCCTTTTTTGTTGAGGAACATGTAATTATAATTAGTGAGTTCACGCTGTGCCTAAGCATTATCCATGGCATAATACTTTATACCCATTCACAATAACTATGTGAGTTCGGTATTATTGCCATGGTTAAAGAAAATGGGATTCTGAGTGATTGTGACTTTCTCTCCACCAAGTAAATCTGATTCGCAGCCAAGCCCATGGTTTCAGTCACTGAGCTACACCCTGAGGTAACTTGTTCAGGAAGTTAAAGTGTCTGTGGGGACGCTGCCTTTTCCATAGAACCTGCTGTTTAGTTGATGTCACTTGAGTATTTGTGAATTTTTTATATTGTTATATATGTATATATTTTTTTCTTTTTTAGTTTTTTTAGGCTTTGTCAGGGCCAAGCCATTAGAAGTACATTTAGAATAACTTTGGCTTCACTGTATCACAAACCTAAGAAATAGAACCATGCATTTCATTTTTCATTTAGCTTTTATTCCTTTGTGGTTCTGTCCAAACTGATTTACAGATGATAATCCAGATGTCCTGGATTCCAAAATAGAAACTGCACAGAGGCCATGTTCTGGAGCTGAGCTGCAAGAT